CATTCACCACTAAACGGCGGACATACATACTTATATAAATGGTAGCGACGAATAATATTACAAAGAATCACCCAATATCATTTACCCAAAATTTGATTTTTTTTTAGTAGAACACTTTATTTTGCTAGTAAATATAGTTACCTATCTTTTCAATATGTAATTTAGGAAAATACATACTCCCTCCGTCCCAAAATTATTGTCCACCTTACTATTTTAGTTTGTCCCAAAATTATTGTCCACTACCAAAAGTAGATATACACTTTTACCATATTACCCCTAACATTTAATAAAGTAAACTTGAATAATTACGAACGCACATTTCCCATTGGTTATAGAAAACTAATGATTGTTTTTCTTAATCTATGTGTTTTTTGTCCGTGGACAATAATTTTAGGACGGAGGGAATATATGAATACGATTAGTGAATTACCATTTAAGTTTATTTATACAATTATTTTTAACTTTGACTGTTTTTAACTTACTATGATATCATGTTATAACTTCTAAATTGAGATTCAACCAAAGACTCATAATTTGGATTAAGAATTTTATCAAGTAGAATAAGTTGCCATGTAAAGTTTTATTGACATTCATGTAATCAAACTTATAGACAAACAAACAGAGAAAATTATCACAAAGAAAAGTTTCAATTATGAATTGTATATATTCATAATAAGTACTTGCTAATGACTAAAATTTTATATGTAAATTGTTTTGATCAGCACCAACACCACCTGATGACATCAATATACCCTTACATCCTCCAAGAATAACCTATCTAAGATCCACATAAATGAAAGTAATGGACACTTGAGTAGAAGGTGGAGAGCAACTGAATCATAATGCAAGAAAATTGTTGACTCATTGTTTCTTTACAGTCACCACCATCTTTATCATATTAATTCACATTACAAAAAAAACAAATTGAAAACTAATTCCAAATAAACGTTTATCAAGAGTTTAGGACTCCATTACTTGTAATGATATGCTTCCCTACATCATCAATTGCTTGGAACCATTTTGGTCTTCCTGTCAACAACATGAATTATAAATATGTATATGAGGGAAAAAGATAAACAACAAACATGGGCAAAATAGCCAATTTAGCTTGGGTAAGTATCATCAAAATCTGGTATTAGTAGTTATCTTGAAGGGAAAATCGGTCAATAAAAACTTTATGATATAGATCACCAAGAATGCTAACAGAAATTGGCAAAATTGCTTTTTTCACATTTATTATCTGTTGATGTTAAACCTATTGTAATAATAATTAAAAGAAACGTACTAACACAAATTGACCAAATGGCCTTCATCCAATTATAATGCACAAGGATTCTCATAAATCCACAAGCAACATCTTGAGAATACAAATTCACAAAATTGGGCCAAGCAAAAATCAAAGAATAGTCAAGGGCAAAATTGTCACATCCAACAAAATTCCCTAACTGCCATTAAGATTGTACTATACACCTTATAATAGTAATTAACACTACTCTTGGCATTATATTTATCCTTGCAGTAACACTAATATATATTTTCAGGACAAAAATTAACCACATGAATACTAGGGGCAATATCGTCCATACTCATCATAAAGCCACAATAGATACAAAGTTTACCTGGTCAAACGAATAACCGGATCTGCTAGCAAAGCTTCTTATCTTTCTGTTTCAAAATAAACATTTTTCCACCCAATTTGTTGTATAATTTCATACCCTTCCTATTTCTTGATTTTCGACTTTTCTCTAAAACATATGGCTCTAATGGTTTATATGAAAGAAACTTGAAGAGGATAAATGACGCCTTGGGGTTTTGGTCACAAAAAATAGGCACATGCACCAAAGACACACATAAAGTACAATCCTTTAGTAAGAAAAAAAATAAAAAAGCAAGAAATAGAAATTAAAGTACGATGAAACTCTTACTAAAAATAGGATAACTTACCTCTTGTTACAACATTTCCCTTCACAATTGACTTCTATTATTACTAAAAAAAACAACATCCATTGGCTCTTATACAATTGAATCTACAACAAATGAGTAAATAAACCATTCATCTCTTTTCTGTAGCATATGAAGCACCACACAAGGGTTATCAAAAGAAATATTGAATCTTGTGAACAAATGTAAAAATGAAAAAAAATGGTTTCACAAGAGCCACAGGTATACACATATACACAACATTTATCTAGATGGGCAGAAATAGAGTATGTATGAAATGAAAAACAGAGAAGCTAGGAAAAAAGATTTGGTAAATGAAGGTATGTAGTTATAGAGTTTCGTGTATCTTCAAGCAATTATGCTTAGAAGTCGTAATCTTCTGGTTTGAATGTGTGAGATTTTGAAGCTGGATTTTGAGCAAACAAACAACATGATTGATCAATAATCATTTTTTTTATTTTCTTCTGAGTGTTCTTGCATTAATCATTTTTTTTATTTTCTTATATACTTGAAAGAATTTGTGGAAATTTTTGAAGATGTAAAAAGTGAAATTGAAGAGAATATGGAAATCTTGATATGAAGAAATGATAACACTGTGAATCTTTTTAGTTTTTTTTATATTTTATTTTGTATCGAATAAAATACTTGTATTATTATGTTTATAGATTGATTAATAAAAATAAGATTTTTTATGATTTACTTACGAATATTATAGTATAAGAAATATGTATATATGCACCTAAAATGTTGATTTTTTTTGTTAAAAAAATTAGGGTTTTTTTTTTTTTTAATATTCTAGGTTTTTATTTATTTATGGGATAATGTCATAAAAAGCCTTAAGTTTGGCAGAAAATGTCGGTTTTACCCTTCGGCAGATTTTTTGTTCGTTTATACCGCAAACTTGTCATTTTTTTGTCGGTTTTGCCCTTTTTACCTGCAATAGCAGGTTTCCATGAATTATTTTTTTACCCGTTTATACTGCAAACTTGTCATTTTTTCGTTACCATGAATTATTTTTTTGCGAAAAAACCCTTAAGTTTACAAATATTTTGCAAAAAAACTCTTAAGATTATAAACATATAAATTATAAATATATATTCAAAATTTGATAAAAAACTAAATAGTTTTCTATTGAAACATATTTTTAGCTTTACATACGGTAAATTTTATATTGGTTCGATATAAAGTTTTTATATTTAATATTTAAAAAAGTTACCTAGTTTTTATCAAAATTTGAATATATTTATTAATTAATACTTAAATTTTTCAAAGAAACATTAAAAAACGTCTGTTAGCTAATAATTAACTATGTTAAAACAGTTAAACATATGAATAATATGACATTAGTTACATTCAATTAATTTTTTAAAAAGGAAAATAAAAATATTTTATATGTTTAAAATGTTTGTATTTTAGAAATAATAAACTATCATATTTTTTTATAAAAATAAATATATTTATATAATAAATTAGACAATATATTTATATTTTATATGTTTAAAATGTTTATGTTTATTTTTGATGTTTAAAATGTTTATAATATTTTTATAAAAAATATATGATAATATTATTATGTATTTTAACATATAAAAAATATGATACATTATTATTTCTGAAATACAAACCTTTTAAACATATAAAATATTTTTTTTCCTTTTAAAAAAATTAATTGAATGTAATTGATGTCATATTATTCATATGTTTAACTATTTTAGCATACTTAATTATTAACTATCAGACGTTTTTTAATTTTGCTTTGAAAAGTTGAAGTATTAATTAAGAAATATATTCAAATTTTAATAAAACTATGTAACTTTTTTAAAATTTAAATATAAAAGGTTTATATCAAACCAATATAAAATTTACCGTATGTAAAGCTAAAAATATGTTTCAATTTTGGTTTCATAATATAAGTTCAATAAAACTTATATTAGTTTTGATATAAACTTTTGACATTTAATTTTTAAAAAAACTATTTAGTTTTATCAAATTTGAATATATATTTATATTTTATATGTTTATAATTTTAAGGGTTTTTTTGCAAAATATTTGTAAACTTAAAGGTTTTTTCGCAAAAAAATAATTCATGGTAACCTGGAAACCTGCTATTGCAGGTAAAAAGGGCAAAACCGGCAAAAAAAAATGACAAGTTTGCAGTATAATCGAACAAAAAATCTGTCGAAGGGTAAAACCGATATTTTCTGCCAAACTTAAGGTTTTTTATGACATTATCCCTTTATTTATTTTAAATTGGAGTTTTTTTTTAGAATTGCAGTTTTTTTTTTAAAATTGCAGTTTTTTTTTACAAAAAGTGTAGTTTTTTTGAAAAAAATTTAGTTTTTTTTTTTTAAAAAATTGCAGTTTTTTTGAAAAAAAAATGTAGTTTTTTTGAAAAAAAAATGTAGTTTTTTTAAAAGCAGCTTTTTTTAAAAGAATTGCAGTTTCTTTTTTGAAAAAATTGCAGTTTTAATAATAAAAAATTTCCTTTTTTTAATTTAATGTTTTCTGAAAAAAAGAAAAAAATCTCTATTTTAAAAAAAAATCAAAAATTATTTTTAAAAAAATCTTAAATTTGATTTATTATGTTAATTTTGTTCAATAACACAAAAAAATAAACATTACATGAGATCGGTAAGATTACGATCATGCCCTTAATGAGTTAATTTTGATCTAACGCTCCATCTTTAGTTTTCAGGTTGTCAGGAAACTGAGTTGTCAACCGATCTCACCTTTTTATATATATATATATATATATATATATATATATATATATATATATATATATATATATAGATATATATATATATAATATATATATATATATATATATATATATATATTGTTTTGGTAGAGAAAACAAATCCACGAATTATCAAGTGAAATTTCTCGATTATACTTATTATATAAAATTCCTAAAAACGATTATCTTTATTTTGTGAATAAATCTATTTACTATTTTAATATTTTTATGACATAATTGAACCATATTGATTATGCAAGAAAAGGGGAAAAAATAAAAACCCAAAACACGTTTCCGCCAAGCGATCACATTGCCGCATCACCATTATCGGCCGCTGGACCCCACTCCCAATAAGATACAATCTCCTCGTGAAAACCACATCCAACAGCTCCTCAACGATCCACCACCACCACGAGAACTAACTCGCCTTTTTCTCTGATTTCATCTTCAGTAATCATCGTGTTTGTGAAAAAAACTGATTAGGGTTTGAGCTGGGGGGATAAAGCCTAAAGTTATGTTGAGTAGCGGAGGTGGAGGAACCTTTTATTGGGTTCGAAATGAGGAGGATACGTCATCTGCATCGAAACTCGAAGGAATCGTTGTAATTTTTGCTTGGGGTTCGCTTGACGAGTCTCGCTTGAAGAATTATGTCGATCTGTATTCGTCTATTGGTTGGAATTCTCTTGTTGTTCTATCCGATTTTCTCAACCCGTAAGTTCATCTCATTTCTCAACTCAATTAGGAGTTCTATGTGTGATATGGATATGGTACAGCTGTTTAAGTATTTAAACTATCGAAAAGGTTCTGAAATTGTTCTTCAAGTACTGTATCATGGGGCAAGCTAGAAGTTGAGTATCTTGTATTAATAGATGCTATATAACTGTAGGATTTGATTTGGACTATAATATATGTCGGAATGTTAAAAGTATAAAGCGTATATGCTGGGAGAATCAAAGGATCCAAGTAATTCGCCTTTTTTTTGCGCGAAATTTGATGAATAATTGAATATAAAACTATAAGAGTATTAGAGTATCAAAGCGACATCAAAAAAGGGTTTTGATCATTCCTCAGATTTTAGGGATAAGTGCATCATAGTAATTGTGAAATATCTTGTTGCTTGATTGATCTTTTAGGATCTTTGAAACAAAACAATTCGTCCCTTAGGATAAAAAACAGTTCTTTTGTGGGCATCTATCACATACTTATGCATATGATACATCAATTTCTTCACATGAATGGCGTAGGAGACACCATAATCATGCTTGTAGCTGTAGCTGTTCATTACACTTATAATTGATAGAAATTGGCCATAAACAAGGTGGATGTTTGAAATTATATATCTTGTTCAATAATTGCATATATACAATTATGAATTATCTCACCAACACTTTAAATTCCTGATTTGACATAATATTTGCAGATTTTTTCCTGAGAAAGCCACAGCACTTGCATTTTCCATCCTCAATGAGCTTTTAGAGGTCAGTTATTAACTTATTATCCATTATAATATGTAAACTCTAATATTTCTTTTAACATTTTTAAACTGATTATTCCCTTTTAAAGTACTAAATAAATATATTGTGAGTGTAGGATTTGAGATCTAGACCATGTCCTTTAGTCCTTGCATCATTTTCCGGTGGCTCACAAGCTTGTATGTATAAGCTTCTTCAGGTAAAATTAAATATCATAAAACTTAATTTCCACAATTAAAATATATATTAATATCTAATCATTATACACATGTTGCAGATTATCGAAGGAACATGTGAAGCACATCTCAATATGGTACATAACCATATGTTAAATCTGTATGTTTTGCTTTTTAATATCAATAACACTTTCATTTTCTAAATATGTATATTCTTTTTTTATGAAGGATGATAGTCGATTAATCATGACATGTATCTCTGGTCAAATGTTTGACTCTGGTCCGGTCAACGTAACCGGTGATTTGGGTGCCCGATTCGCCCTTCATTCCTCCATTCTTGGATCATCAAAATTGGTATCTTTATTTGCAAAAGGTGTCACTTCTGGATTGGATGCTTTATTTCTTACAAGATTCGGGTCCCACAGATCTGAATACTGGCAAACATTATACTCCTCTGTTGTAAGTTTTTTAAATTATCCCATTTCACTTATTTTTAATCTTCCTTTTTACAATTTTGTTAAAAAATTTAGGGTTTGGGCGCCCCATTTCTCATATTATGTTCGGAAAATGACGATCTTGCCCCTTATCCCGTTATCTGCTCATTTGCTCAACGGGTACAAGGTTTAGGTGGACATGTGAGATTTATTGGATGGAAAGATTCTCCTCATGTAGGTTAGTAGTTTTGAAGTTTATCAGCTACCAGCTAGCTTTTCAGCTAGTCTGTAATATTGAGTATTAATTTATTGTTTTTTTTTAGGTCACTACGAGCATAATCCTATACAATACAGGACAGCTGTCACCGAGTTTCTTGATGACTCGGTTTCAATATTCAACAAAAAGCTTCAAAAACTTTTTGAAAGAAATGGAATGGAGGGAATGCATGACAAAATATGTGAATTAATTTGTGATCTTCAAAATGCAGCGGTTGACTCAAATCAAAGCCTTAGAAGGGTGGCAGTGGGACCCAATGACCATTTCTTTTTACCAAGTTCTTTGGAGTATCAAAATAAAGAATCAGGATCTTTACAAGATGAACAAAAAGAAAGAAGAAATGGTAATGGTAATGGTGGTGGTGTCCACGTGGCAAGTCCTCCATGTTTGAATCCTCATAGTGTTCTTGGTCAAGTTCTTTTTGATGCTTGTGTTCCTAAGAATATTGAAGGGTGGGACATTAAGTTTGATGGGAAGACATTTGGATCTGGTCGTAAGAGGTTGTCTTTAAATGGGTTGAAACGAATAAGGTCAAGATTGTAAAATGGCAAACATGAGAGAGATTTGTATAATAATATAATATAATAATGATATAACAATAAAAATGTATATATTGATTTTGCACGAAATGTATAGGTAGGACGAATGTAGAGGATATGGTATGTTTATGGAAATGTTTAGAGATGTGTTTTGTAATAGATTGTTTGTTTTGGTATATGAGAAGTATAAGACGTTAGAAACATGTTACGAAAATAGAAATAATTATTAAGGAAAAGTGTTGTTTGATGGTTCGTATAACTAAAATCTTTATTAAGTTCAAGGGGAACACAAACATGATACAAAACGGATTACAAGATTAAAGAAAAAGAAAACTTACATTTTGGATCTATCTATCAAATTGAAAAGTTCTAAAGGCTTGAAATTCGAAAGGAAAAAATGGTAAACTTAAAAAAAAGGAGTTTGGATGCCTTCGACAAACGAGAAAGTCTCTATTTATTGGCAAGAGTTGGATTCGAAAACCGGACCTCAACTTGAATTCATGATGTTGGCTATTTCGGCTAGTTATAATTTTGAATTGGTTTATGTCTTGCCACATTCATTATATGCATGATTATTTTTTCAGTGTTCCAATGGAAAGTATCAATAAGGCTCAAAATACTTTACTCATAATTTGTAAGGGCCTTTTCCGACCTTAAGGCCCCGTTTGATACGCATCTTTCCAAGTCCAAACAGATCTTTCTGGCTGAATGGACCGGAAAGACTGTTTGATTTGCACAAAAGAATGGGTCTTTCCCGGTAAGATATGTCTTTCCCAGAAAGCCCCAAAATCATATCTTTCTGGCTGAATGGGCTGGAAAGACAATTATACACCAAACCCCGCTTCTTTCTTTCTTTATTGAATTATTAATTTTTTTAAATAACTTTTTTTAAATTTATTTTTTTATTGAATTATTACTTTTTTTCATCATTAAGAACAGTCAATCAGATGTACAATCAAACAACATGGTTTCTTTCCCAGTCAGAAAACTTTCCCAGACAGCACTTTACCAGACAACACTTTCTCAGACATATACTATCAAACGGGACCTAAGTTAGTCTCTTCTAAATCAATTTGTTACTCCTTTTATATATAGAATTACACGGATACTCATCCATTACGCAAAATATAACTATATATATATATATATATATATATATATATATAAAGTTGATATGAAACATTTATTATTTATGAATTATATGATAATGTAGATCTCTATTAAAACTATATAATCTAAGTCGTATCAACTATCAATGGCCTCCACTCATGGGTTATCATGAACAAAATTAATATAATATATGGTTTAATTTTAATTATAGTTGTTATGATTAATTAATTTTTAAAAAGTTTACTTGCTTAACTTTTTAACTTTTATCATTGTAATTTGACAAAATTACATAAATGGTCTATGTGGTTTACCAATGGTCACAAACTCAGTTCATACTAACTTTTTTTGACGCAAATGGTCCTTGTGATTTGCAAAACTTGCATGGAAAATCCTTTTTATAGACGCCGTTAATTTTCAGTCGTTAGGGCATATCACGTGTCTAGCATGTGAGGTATTTTGGTCTTTTCAGGTTAGGGCATATCACGTGTCTAGCATGTAAGATATTTTGGTCTTTTCAGGTATAGCAGAGACCGAGTTTATGACATTTGATAACCACAAAGACCATTTATGTAATTTGTCTTAAATAAAATAATATATTTAATAAAAATATATTTTGTTTTATTATAAAAAACTGTAAAAAAATGTTTTTTGTAATTTTTTTATTATTTATGTTTTTACGATATACATAATATAAATCAGTTTTGAGAATTATAAAACAAGTTTGCCTTTAGCTTTGTGGCTAAAGGCTTTGGCCGATGAAGGGAGGGGAAGGATGTCCCAAGTTCGAATCTTCCCCATCATCAACCAAAGTCTTTAGTCACTTAGCTAAAGGTAAACTTGTTTTATAATTACTAAAACCGATTTATATTATGTAAACTGTAAAAACATAAATAATAAAAAAACATATTTTTACAAAAAAAAAAATATATGGTTTAACGTATTGTAGAAAAAATTACAAGCATATTATATATATATATATATATATATATATATATATATATATATATATATATATATATATATATTACATATTTATTTTATGTAAAATATTTATTTTATGTATTTTAAAAAATACATTTTCATATAATATGTTATTACATTGCTATGATCCTAAAACATATTTTCACATTTTCATAAAACAAAAAGTTTTTTTTCTTTCACGTAAAAAAATAAGGTTTTTTTTACGTATTTATTTTATATAAAATATGTTCTCTTTATGTATTTAAAAAATATATTTGCGTATAATATGTTATTACGTTTTTATAATCCTAAAATATACTTTTACGTTATATTAACGTCTTTAGCTAGTTTATACGAAAACATAAAATATTATGGTTAACATAACGTAAAAAGTATATTTTAAGATTATAAGAACGTAAAAATATATTATAAGAAAAGTTATTTTTTAATTACATAAAAAACATATTTTACATAAAATAAATACGTAAAAAACTAATTTTTTATGTGAAAGCAAAAAACTTAGTTTTTTATGAAAATGTGAAAATATATTTTACGATCATAGTAATGTCATAATATATTATACGAAAATATATTTTTAAAATACATAAAAAAATTTACGTAAAATAAATATGTAAAAAACATACAAATTGTTCGTAATTTTTTTTACAATGCTTAAAAAATATATTTTGTTTAATAAAAAAGTTTTTTGTAAAAATATGTTTTTTGTACTTTTTTATTATTTATGTTTTTACGATTTTATATAATATAAAACAAGTGTTGCTTTAGCTTAGTGGCTAAAAGCTTTGGCTAAGGAGGAGGAGGAGGAGGAGGAGGTATCAAGTTCGAATTATTCTCCTTTCATTTTTTTGTATTTCTATTATTTTAAGACAAATTACATAAAATGATCCTTGTGGTTTACCCAATGTCATGAATTTTTAGCACCTATTATACCTGAAAAGACTAAAATACTCTCACATGTTAGGCACATGATATACCCTTATGTCCGAAAATGGACGACGTCGATAAAAAAGACCTTCCATGCAAGTTTTGCAAACCACAATGACCATTTATGTCAAAAAAATTAGCACTGAATAAGTTTGTGACATTTTGTAAACCACATGGACCATTTATGTAATTTTGTCTTGTAAATGTTTAAAAGGGAAATGTTGCTGTATCACAACGAAGTTTGGTGATATTGGCAAGAAGGTACCAAGTTTGAATCCTCCTCCTTTTCATTTTCTTGTATTTCTATTATTTTAAGACAAATTACATAAATGGTTCTTGTGGTTTACCAAATGTCATGAATTCAACACATGTTATACTTGAAAAGACTAAAATATCTTCACATGCCAGGCACGTGATATGTCCTAATGGCTGAAAATGGACGACGTCGATAAAAAGGACCTTCTATGCAAGTTTTGCAAACCACAATGACCATTTGCGTCAAAAAAGATTACCAATGAATAAGTTTGTGACCTTTGGTAAACCACATGGGTCATTTATGTAATTTTGTCTTGTAATTTTTTAAAAGAGAAATGTTACTGTAGCATAAAGAAGTTTGGTGATTTTACACATTTAGTCACTCAAGTTTTATTAGCGCGTAATTAGTCCTTAAACGAATCAATTACCGTCTAATTAAACCATTATGCACCGGGTAAACGGGACAACCAGTTGTATTCTTAATGTGGCATTACAATAAATTACATATAAACAATATTAAATCCACTTTAGTAAATGTGTTTCAAATACTAATGAAGTCAACCACATCATATACCCTAATGTTAGGCACGTGATATACCCTAATGGCTGATATTGGCTAGGAGGTACCAAGTTCGAATCCTCCTCTTTTTCATTTTCTTGTATTTCTATTATTTTAAGACAAATTACATAAATGGTTCTTGTGGTTTACTAAATGTCATGAATTCAACACATTTTATACTTGAAAAGACTGAAATACCTTTACATGTTAGGCACGTGATATGTCCTAATGGCTGAAAATGGACGACGTCGATAAAAAGGACCTTCTATGCAAGTTTTGCAAACCACAAGGACCATTTGCGTCAAAAAAAGATTGCCAGTGAATAAGTTTGTGACCTTTGGTAAACCACATGGTTCATTTATGTAATTTTGTCTTGTAATTTTTTAAAAGATAAATGTTACTGTAGCATAACGAAGTTTGGTGATTTTACACATTTAGTCACTCAAGTTTTTTTAATGCACAATTAGTCCTTAAACTAATCAATTACCGTCTAATTAAACCATTATGCACCGAGTAAACGGGACAACCAGCTGTATTCTTAATGTGGCATTACAATAAATTACATATAAAACAATATTAAATCCACTTTAGTAAATGTGTTTCAAATACAAATGAAGTCAACCACATCACATTAAACCACAGAAACCACACTCATCTTTCGTTCTTTCTCATCTCAGTGACTAAGAACGAAAAAAAACCTATGGTTCAAACTCATTTTCTCCGATCGAAGTCAAGGAGTAGCCAACCATCAGACAATGTCAACCTCAAAGCCAAACCCTGATGGACTGTATATGTAGCTGAGTTGAACTTTAAAGGTGTTTTTCTTTGAATTCCTTTCTCGTATAATCATGGTATCAAATTCGCATTCAATGATCATGATTTTATGGAATGACTTACTCTGAGTGTATCACTTTTCTTGGACGGTTCATGCAAGAAAGTATAAAGAAGTTATACTACTGTGAGCTAGGTAAGCCCGTATTGTCTGGGATAACTACTATTGCTAATGATGAGATTGCGCTAGTTTCATTCTTGATGCTTATGGACCTTGTCACACCCCAAACCGAAACGGCGGAAACGTTCAGGGGTGGAGGACGTCATGTATAGTATCACAACAATTGAATATTAGTAATCAAAGCAACAACAACCATTGTATTAATAGTATAGTGTTTACATTACAGTTGAATCATACACGATTGACTGCAAAAGTAAATAACAAGCAAAGACTTGAACTACTATGCTCCATCTTCTTGAACCCGGTGTGTGTACCTGTCTACTAATGTCCTGAGAATACAAGTAGGATTTGAAAGAGTATCAGCATAACGCTGGTGAGTTCATAAGCATTTTTGTTTTGGA